CCCCAAAACCCCGCTACTCCTATTATTTGGACAGATTGAAAATAATACTTCAAAATTAATTAAGAAAAAAAATTATAAACGAATATTCTATTTTACTAATTATGAAATCTTGATCTACTGAGATAAGCTATTCTCAAATCAAGAGTTATTTAATTCCTTTTCCATTATAGATAGTTAGCGGGCATTGCTCAATATAGATTCTTAAATGACCTAAAGACCTTATTTCTCCTTCTTCATTATATTCAGTAAATCATATAGATCTTCATTATTAATCTCATCCCCTAATTCCAAGTTATTTTAATGCTTGTACTCTCCAGGGAATCTTGAGTCAACTTGGTTTCTCTAGTCATCATAATACACTTAATGTTGAAGTTTCCTTATCTTCCTCATAATTCCATGTTATGGATCATCAATCTGCTTTAATGTCTCTGAGTATTCATCATTTAATGTTTCGTTCTCGGCCCTCATATAGCCTCTTCCTCTATCTTCGCATAATAAACATTCAAACTTGCCAAATACAGTGATTAGCTTTTTCATAATTACTTCGTTTTTTATTCTGCTTTAGATAATTTGACTTTGCAAGCTATCATCACAAGTCTATTAAACTTTCTTTATTGAATCTTGGGCAGATTTAAGTCTTTGATTTAATCTTTGAACTGTATCTTGAGTGACTTAGACTCTTTTCTATAAGTCAGAGTAAGAGCTGATCTGTCTGGTAAATAAATCATTCTTTTGTTAATTTTATTCTAAAGATACCAACCACTTTTAAATGTTTGAAGGGCATTCAACTTCTTATCCATTAACATCTTAGATAGATCTGCTCTGATAGGGAATGGAATTTTTCATTATTTCTTTGAGTTACTTATTAAAGTTTGTACTATACTTGTCGTAAAAATGTGCAACAAATCTATTTTGAGCATCTTTTGGGTCAAGGGATTGCTGAAATGCAGTGAGGATTTGCTATAGTTCACCCAAATTTTTCTCTACCTAAGGTTATTGCTATGTAAGTCCTTGCAGATTATACTAGCCTTATCCTAATCCAGATGTTGTTGTTTAACCAAATAATCCTGAGGGTTAATTCTACTATTACTAAGGCTACCCGCCGAATAGAGAACTTTGTTGAGTTTGCTGAGTGGTAGCTCCAAATAATCCCCCTCCAGCTGCTTATCCTCCTCCAAAAAGTGATCCAGCTACAGCTGGTTTATTAAATCCTTAGCCGGGCTATTGCTATTAGTTTCCAAATAAACCTCCTCCACCTGCAGCAGCCTGAGCTCCGAATAATCCTCCTCCAGCTGATTTTTATGGAGTACTCAGCAAATTAGTAGTAGTTTATTGTGCTTATCCACCAAAGAGAGAAGATTACTGTCCTGGCTGCTGTCCTTATGGATTTCCAAATAAGCTAGCCTGACCGCTAGGGTTAGCACCTACAATTATGTTTAATTTATTGATTTCAATACCTAATAGATTGGGTGTATTTTATTGAGGTTGCCCAAATAATCCACCGCCAACTGGCTGATTCTAATTCTATCCTGCCCCAGCCCCTCCAAATAATGAGGGAGTTTATTAGCCTGATGGGTTTGTCCCAGTTGGTTAGCCAAATAATTACTTTTGACCACCTCCAGCTGAAAGACCACCAAATAAGCCAGTTCCTTAGCCAGCAGGTTGATTACCTCCTCCAAATAAATTCTGCATTTTTAATATTTATAATTAAATTACAGATTGATTATTTTCTTTGTTAATCTAGCTGATAATACTGCTAAAGTCCACAGGATTTTATATTTTCATACCTGCTCCAAAATCATCATTCTTTTAACCAGCCCCTTTATATTCTCAATGAAACAAAAATAAATATACCAAACATATCAGTGATGAGTAGTTATTTCTAAGGTGTTTAATATGGATCTAATTTTAAAAGCTATTAGTATAATTATCATACTCTATGTCATATTTCAATCCTAATTTATTAAACTTTATAATTACCACTATTAAATATAGTTGATTGAAATAAACAAAGAAGTCTCTTAAAATGGCAGATAAAGTTGAAGTTGTTTTAGAAAAGATGACTGATGAGCTATAATACTACATCAGCTAGGAACTATTTTCAAAGAGGGAGGTAAAAAAAATTGTCAAAGAAAGACGTGCTTCTGAATATAAAATGCAAAGAAAAGATGCTTCCCTTTTATTCTTTATGGATTCAATTGATTTTGAGAAGAAACTTGACAAACTTAGAATGAAGAGAAAAAATAAGAGAGTTGGAAAGGATGGCTCAGGAGCTTAGAAAGTAGTTCTAATGGATCATAGCATAAAGCGCAGAATTATGTACTTGTACGACAGAGGAATAAGAAAATTTAAGAATAATATTGCTCTTCATAAGGAATATATGGAGTATTTAGTTAGCAATAAGAGCTTTTAAAAGCTTAATAGAGTTCTCGCTAAATCTGTGCAGATACATCCAAATGTCCTTGATTTCTGGCTGATAGGTGTCTATGCAGAGCATGATATGAGAGGTAATCTGTTTTCAAGCAGAAAGCTAATGTTATAAGCTATTAGAAATAATCCAGACAACGCAAATTTCTATGTTGAATACTTTAAATACGAAATCAAGTTCTTTGAGAAAATCAAGCAAAGAATATAGATATTGAATAGTGGAGGTGAATAAGAAGAGAAAAAGATTGATTTCATTATGGATGAAGAGGATGAGGTTTAGTCATAACACTCAAATAAAAATGAAGAAATTGAAAATATAGATCTGGAAGATGGAAAATTAAGTGGCAGCGCTAATTTAGTTGAAATTGTATTTGACAATATTTTGGAACAATTTGGAGATAGAGTAGACATCATCAAAAGATGTAGGGACATAAGCAGATAATCTGAGTTGCTAGAAGAATCTCTAAAGAATAAAATAAATTCTTCATATTAATAGATGAAAAACACAAATGAGGGTTTCCTTAAATATTCTTAAATGAAACTAAAAGATCAAAGTATAAGTATTGAAAAATTAAGCAAATTACTAGAAAAAAATTCAGATAAATTTGAGGAAGATGAAATCTAATAGTAAGTATTAATCAAACTAGAATCAATAATAGAGAAAAAGGAATAAATTGAAGAAAAGAGGTAAATAATCAAGTTAATCATGGATAATATGAACCTAAATGTGAACTAATGCTAAGATTTACTTCTAAAGTATCATAGAATTATTGACCTGACAAATAAGCAATATACAATGATGATCGACGGAATATTAAAATCTTAAAATAGAAATCTACCCTCTATTTATCTTCACATAAAATCTATGAGAACAGTCCCTAAAGATTTGTTAGCGGAGTTAGAACAAAAAAGCTGGAACTATAAAGAATTCAAAGATCTATAACTAATTGTAAACTCTAAATCTATAATCCTTAATGAAATGCTCAAGATGAAAAAGTAAAGCTTAGCAGAAGAATATCTCAAGAAATGCCTTCTTTAATTTTCTGGAGTTGCTCAATTAAAGAGTGACATAATTTATCAATATTCAAAACTGCTCAAGTCAGCTGAGTTATAAGAAGTGAATTAGTCTATTAGCTTTTTGATAGAGTAAATCAGCAAATCATCTTGCATAATAAAAGATAAGGTTTATGATAATCTCTTGCTAACAATAAATCTATCATTACCTAGTAAAAAGCAAAACTGCCAAGAAGTAATTAATAGAATATACGAATCAAAGATTCATAATGGAGATAATAAAAAAGACTCTAGCAAATGGCTTGAATATATCAGCTACTTAGTTAACATTGAGAATAATGAGGGCAAAGCTAGAGATGTTTTTGAAAATGGACTTTAGAATGTCTCAAAGGGAAGTTAGGAGGGATATATTCAAAGCTATAATAAAATAATTTCATCAAAGCAATGATGATGAAATCTTATTGAAACCTTTTCTGTGGCCTTAATTAAAATCTATTTATTTATTTAAAATATAATTTTTTCCCTTTCCCTAATAAGTTATGTTTATAATGCTAATGGGGTTTTGGGGTTTTGGGGAGATCGGAAGAGCGTCGTGT